CCTTTTTTTTTTTTTTTTAATCCTTACCAATTATTTGTTGAAGACCTGGGATATTTGTCTTATAGTTTCCTTTTTGTTTTGGCTGGTTGCATACCTGTGGAAGCATTTAACATTTTCCTTTCCCAAGGGATATATTTTTGGGAGGAAAATTTGCCTGATAATTACACATATATGCTGTGAGGTACAATACCGTTGATTTTATTTTTTAGATATGGAAGCTGAAGGATGATGACATACATTGTAATTTCTCATAAATGTCTGCCAACTGCAGTGTAAGAATGCATATTAAACTCGCCATTTTTATAGAGTAAATTAGCAGCCATTTTTTTTTTTTTAATTTTTTTTTTCAACGTTTATTTATTTTTGGGACAGAGAGAGACAGAGCATGAACGGGGGAGGGGCAGAGAGAGAGGGAGACACAGAATCGGAAACAGGCTCCAGGCTCTGAGCCATCAGCCCATAGCCTGACGCGGGGCTCGAACCCACGGACCGCGAGATCATGACCTGGCTGAAGTCGGACGCTTAACCGACTGCGCCACCCAGGCGCCCCTTAGCAGCCATTTTTAAATGATAAATCCCAGTGGTAAGGATTGTTGTGAAACTGCAGGGTCGTATTTTGGAGTATATAGAGTAAATTGGTACAATACCATTAAAAATACTGCTGCTGCATATAATCAAGTGTTATTAAAATATTCAGTAAAGTAATTCTGGCCCTTGAGGTTTATCCTAAGGAATGTTGTGTTATGTAAGAAATGTTAGGATGAACTCATTTGCCCCACAGGAGGAATGGTTAAATAAATAAGGTGTATCAACTTGATGAAATGATATATAACTCTTGAAAAATGATTGAGAATTACAACACAGAAAGATAAGGGAGAAGACGATTTCAGCTCTAAAATATATACTCAGTGCACAGACAGGAAAATGTAGATAGTCATATGAATGTGTTTAATTTTTAAGTTTTGTGCAGTGAAGAACCGGGACAATTATTGCTTATACGCGTATGATGTTTTGTGCAATATTGTCTTGTTCACATTCATCTGTGAAATTCAGTTTTCCTGATGTCTTTCCTAGGGATTTGATGATGGTTTGCTTCTCTTCTGTATTTATGTCTGTGAGAGTATCACACCTTTTTTTTTTTTTTTTTTTTTTGCTTTGTTTTTCAGAATGGAAATGTACTGTCGAGAACTGACGGAGAGGTTTGAAGATGTTTGGATCGTATCTGGACCGTTGACTTTACCTCAGACTGGAAGTGATGGAAAGAAAACAGTTAGTTACCAGGTAGGGGTATGTTTTAACATTCAGGCTTATGTTATTTGTATGAGATTATAATTTCATTCTGTATTCTACTTTCTAATTTCCTTTATTGAACACCTGTTGGAATCATAGGCATCGGGGATATAATGATGGATTGAAAAGCAACCACTGACTTCAGGGAGCCCACAGTTTAGAAAGGGAGACAGACGTGTTGTGAGTTAATCACGCTAGAGTGTGATATGCTGCAGCAGAGATAAATACATGGTGAAGGGCCATCACAAGAGGACTGACCAACTCTATTTGTGTGGGTTGGGAAGACTTAACAGGAAGTGGTTTGTGAGCTAGATCTTGACAGATGAGTAAGAGTAAACTGAGTCAGTGAATCCCTGTATCGTACATCTGAAACTAATATAACGCTGTATCTTAACTATACTGGAATTAAAATTTTTTAAGATGGGAGAGAAAAAGAATAAACTGAGTCAGGAAGGGAGCCTGGGAGTTCAAGAGATGGAGCAGTGCAAGCACGGGACATTTGGGATTAACAGCAGAGGTCTGCAATTCTGGTATCATTGATAAAGATTGCAGCTTAGGGCTCAACACAGGTATGGGTGGCTCAGAGGGGATGATTTCTACAAGTACGGGTAAGACAGGGGCCAGATAGTAAGTAGAGGGCTTTGTATTCCATGAAGGCTTAGATTTTAATATTTAGATAGAAGTCCTAGGTTTGTTTTAAGTGTGGGAGACATTTGGTTTGTTTTGGGTTTTCTAAAGAGTATGCTGGCAGCACTATGTAGAAAGTAGGGAGGAAGGGCTGTTTGAAAGAGAAGTCAGAGGCGAGGCGAATGGGGCATTACTGCAGTGGTCCGTCCATATGAGAACAGACACGGCGCCACACAAGCAGCTGGAGGGAGGACGATAGAGGAATATGGGAAAGAGTAACCCTGAACTCATTTTTTGGTGAGGAGAGGAAAAAGTTCAAATGATATTTAGGGGGCAGTGAGCAGAGTAAGTGGGAGGAATGGCTTTTCTTGTAGATGCTAGAGTTTTTAAAAAAGGTGAAGTTTTTTTACATGCAAGATACTTAAGAACCCTACGGACTGACGGAAAGAGAGGTTAAACCGTAAGAGTAGAATAAGTGGTGTGAGGGCCTGCGTGTGGTGTGAGAGTAAGCGGTGTGGGGATTGCGGCCAGAGGGTAGCTGAATTCCTACAGTGACACACTGTGAGATGCGTCCAGGGCAGGGAACTGGGTGGGCTGAAGAGGAAGAGGTGATAGAGTGAGCAAAGAGGGATTGAAGGACTTCCCTGTAGGTCCAAGAGATGTATTTGGAGGGAACACCTAGCTCAGCTCTAGGAAGAAAGCAGATATTTAGTAAATGCTGGTTTGGTTAGAAAGTCTGTGATAGAATTGAATGACCTGAGAAACAGGTTTAGGATAACAAAAGTAACTTTAGGGCATGTCCTGTCGCACTTGCTTATTATCTGCCTGTCTGGATCAGCCGCGTAGTGATGTATAAGCATCCAGAGTGTTCACCTAGGTGCTCACGCCCTCAGAGTATTCCAGCAGTTCTTATGGGAGGGAAGGACTGGCACAGGAGTTCGTATGTTAAATAGGTTAATCTCTCTCCTCCGATCAGTTTGCTAATTTGATTTTAGTATTTTTTCTTTTGGTAGAAGAAAAAAATGGGCTCCCTGTATTCTCTTATTTTTAAAATATTAATTATTCTTTTTTTTAAAATTTTTTTTTAATGTTTATTTTTGAGACAGAGAGAGACAGCATGAATGGGGGAGGGGCAGAGAGAGAGGGAGACACAGAATCGGAAGCAGGCTCCAGGCTCCGAGCCATCAGCCCAGAGCCTGACACGGGGCTCGAACTCATGGACCGCAAGATCGTGACCTGAGCTGAAGTCGGATGCTCAACC